AGTATGTCTCCTTCTTCATATTTGGGACCCCGACGAACGCGAGATCTTGGGGAAGAACGGACTCGAATTCGACTGTCTCGCCACGAAATTCTGCTGAAGAATCGCGTGTTTCTGCGGGAGGGTGAGGGCATTTTTATTGTGGATTTTGCGATTTTTGGCGAAAATAAGAAGAAAAATAATCATGTGAATGCTTTTGAAAATGATCACTTACTAGTGTTAGCTCCTGATGGCAAAGCAAATTTTCATTTAGTTTTCCCCGATTGAAAGTTTAAATCTTTAATTTTGTTGGTGGTGAAATTTTCTTGCTTTTCGATTTGAAAGCGATTTTATTCTATTCAAAATCCTTCCTTCACAGACTTCTAGATATGAATTTCGTATTTGTAATTTTTTGCCAGGCAATATCATGGTGAAGTTTGCACCAATGCTTTTCGTCTTTTTGTTAATCGTGGCTTTCAAATAGTCCCGAAAAATTTGTATTTGCGTTTGCTTTTGACTTTTTTGACCGAGAAACGATCCTTTTTTCCACATCAACGTCCTCAGTTTAAGGCATAATTCTCAAGATGAGAATATTAACCTGATACACCTGTCAAAATTTCTTCGATACTAGTTTTCATAAATTAAAGAAAGAGAACTGAGAAAACTACGGAAAGAATCAGTAAATATTTCAAGTTTTATCCCACTGAACACCCCACTTTCCTGACTGGGGTAAATTTTCCGTTACGTAAGGGTTGCTGATGTTGATGCACCTTCGTAGGATACATTTTAATATTTTTAGGTGTTATTCAGGTTATACTATGTTTACTTATGTTAATTTTCATTCTGGGGGGTCATTTTTGTGAGGTCAGGTGACGCTCGCGCGGTACAGTATTACAGAAAGCCATGTTTGCTATAAGTGAAAAAAAAAACGGAATAACTTTCCGAGCAGTTGTTTTAAGTATCTTTTTTGTCGGATTTAGCTGATTTCGTTTGAATTAATCTCATGGATAACCATTCATTCATGCGTAGATCTGATTCCGCTGCTGGAATTAGAAGGAGAAACATCCCATCGCAAGGACGAGTTTTGAGGCAAGAGGGAAATATTAGAAAGTTTGCGAATCCTGGCGACGTGAGTGCCGATGATGGAGACGGTAAAGATGACGACGGAACCTGGAATGGAAATTCCACGCAACAGCTCTGAAATTCAGGCGAACGACGTGTGTTGGTTTTTCTTTTTCTTTCATGCGGTATATTTTCATGCTGCGTTTTTGATTCGCTCCCTTTTCTCTTGGATGGCATAAAGGGATTCTCGTGGATTTTTTATGACATTCCTCGTTTTCATTTGATTGCATAGCTGTAGTCTTATTTTGTTGGGGCAACGAGTGGGGAGTTTATGCCGGTTGGTTGGTGTGCGATTAAAATATATACGCAATATTAGCTGTGTCGGTTTGCATCATTGTTTTTCTCTTGGTGCGATTAATTCGCTGAAGAGAAAAGGTGCTGCTTTTTTTTTAGAAAATTTAGCAGGTCTTTTATCCATTGTCTGAAATCGGCATATTTTTGGAGATATTGGTCAAGTTGTTGTTGCGAGAAAATGATCTGCAAATGTTTCTACGGCCGACTCGTAAACACTAGTTCGGTTGTGATTCGCATATACGGAACTGAGCATCTGATCAAAGGCTAATTGAATGTAACGAACTCATGAAATTATAACTCTTTCAATTCGTTATTTTTACGCCTGTTTATTCAGTTGAGAAATGAGTGATACCGTTTTGGTTCACGAACTGGACCTCGTGACGTTGATCGATTCCAAGAATTGTGAACGCGCGTTTGAGCTTTTTCGTGAATCGCACGAAGGAAACGATGGACCATGGAAGCTAGTCTTGTACTCGTCATCCGACGAAGCATTGCTGCCAGTGGAACCAGAACCCAAGGAAAGTGCAGCGGAAAAGGCTGTTGTTGAACCCCTTTCGAAAGTGAGTCCTCGACACGTTTCCATCGCATAATCTTCTCCCTGCATTCAATGAACATCCATTTTTAATTGAAGTAAATTTTTCATCAATGAGCGAGACATGTGTAAAATTCCGGAGATTATAACGGCTGATGTTTGATTGGAAGTTGCTGCATTTGGTTTTCATCGATATTACGCAATAATATATTTAGCTTTCACTCGTGCCTAAAGTCACTAAACGTAACCTGCCAGAATTCTTAATTTTTTAAAAGTACAATTTTGTTTTTCGACTGCGAATGTGACTTTTCCTGTTTCTTGTGACCACGAAAATTGTAATGAAGCGTGCAAACCTAAATGTAAAGTAATACCTGGAAAATAATCAATTGAAAGAAAATTAAAGCGTCTGAGTCTTCATTCAGCTATTAACAATATTGCTGTGAGAAAATCGATCTGGGATTTCTCTTTTTTGTTGTTGGGAACGTATTTAAACCACTCAGAAAAATGGCAGGTTTTAGTGAAGTTTCCAGTGATTTTAGGTTGAACAAGAAATTATTTTTGCCCGGCTACATGCATGAGTCATTTTTAAAGGCGCGTATAAATGGGACAGCCTTGTACATAAAATCCTTTGTTTTGAATGGAAGCACACGGCAAGGTTCTCTCCTGAGTTTTTCTCGTTTTTTTCTTCGATTTTGTGCTGTTCACAATACAGGTAATAGGATTAGACGTTATTCGAATGAGAGTTAATACTCTCGAGTTTTTATTTTCTGAGATGTCGAAAATCTTTTCGGGAGAGACTGCAATTTAAAAAAGCCTATACAATGTATTCTTTCCTGTTGTATCCGGCTTACATTTTTAAATAGTGTGTAAATTCATTGTTAATTTTTAGGGATCGAAAGGAAAAGTGAAATGCTCCAGTTGCAGTAAAACCTTCTCACGACATGTGGATCTTTGGCGACATGTTCGGACGAAGCACAAGGAGCCCAGTCATTTACTGGACGTCTTTTCGTCCGCCTTCGTGTGCTTGCAATGCAACGAAACTTTCGCCTCTGCACACAACCTGCGATTGCACGAACATTTCCACGAATTGGAAAAAATGGAAACAGTTTCGTTGCTTGTGTCTGACGCGAATTCCGAGGGCTGTGTACAAAAAAAGCTCAAGTGTCCCGAGTGTTCAGTGTCGTTTTCCCGACTCGCGGGGCTTCGCAGTCACGTGATCACCAAACATTTGGAGGACGAAGTGTTCAAGTGCAAGTTGTGTGGAAAGGAGTTCGAAAAGTCCGAACAAATTAAGGTTAGTTCATTATGTATTTCGATTTGTCGATCAGTTGATGATGAATGCATTAATCTAGACTGCGTGTCACGACAGTTTTCGTTCATTTCGTGATCCGAGTTGTTTTCAGTGCCGAAGGTTTCCTTATTTTCGACAGGATCATCTTCTGAAACACAGTAAGAAAGAAACTAAAGAAATCCCCGCGAAGCCGGTCGTAGATTACAAGAAGAGACAGGAAATTCGAGTCGCGCGGAAAAAGTTCAACGCCATTTTCTCACACAAGAAACGGGGCCGGAAAAAAGGGAAGCGATTGGATCAAGATGTCGATACTGCAGAAGCTCTTTCTATCCCAGCAAAAGCGAGTTCCATTTGTCCTATCTGCAGAAAGGTTTTCAAAAAAGGTAGTCTCATGGCTCGTCACATGCGGTGTCACACCGGAGAGCGCCCTTTTCGGTGAGTGCTAAATTCATTAGACGAATTTGACCGATTTGCCAAAAATTGATTCTATGGAAGGAAACTAATCGACCGTACAGTGTTAATATTCATTAATTTAATTATATTTTATGAAATTACTAACTATTTTAAGCAGACATGATCGAAATCCTTGAAGCCCCTTTTTAGAGAAAAAAACAGGGACTCTGCGAGTGCTCAAATAAAGTAAAATTGTGAAGTTAGAAAAAAGGAGTAATGGAAGTTGAGTATAAAATAAAGAAATTGGCAATTGTAAATGTTTCCATAAGTTCAAATACTTGGGCCTTTGAAAAATGAAAGGGCTTTATTTGTCTGCATCTCGAGGATGCACCTGGTACAGTATATTAATTCTTCAGGGGCTCTCCCAACTAATTCGATCATAGAAAGCGAGTTCAGAATATTCTAATGATTCAAGCGACACCTTTTGTGCCTTTCCAAGAGCTACATCCTGCATTACATTCAAAAGGGCTAAAAAAAAGTCTCCTGAATGAATGAATTTAGAAAGTGTAACAGAAGAAAAGTGTAACCGGTTTTCTAAATTGTTCCGTGTTGAGCAAAAAAAAAATGATCCTTCTCTTTTTTTTTTACGAGAGAATCGTAAGTATTTATAATTAAATGTTTTTATTTATTTATGCAGTTGTCCGAAATGCGATAAAGGCTTTGCTCAGAAAACCTGTTTGGGTCGTCACATGCGATTGCACGAAAAAGAGAAGCCGTTTGCGTGTCTATTTTGTCCATACCGTGCCGCGATGAAGGCCAATTTAAAGCTGCACATCCGGAGGCTGCATTGGGATCAACTTGGGGACCGGAAACTGGGTGCCCTGGCGAGTTCTCGGACTCCGGAAGCAGGCGGGGAGATTCGTTGCCCGCTTTGTCCCTGTGTTTTCCAGCGTCGAGGATGCTTGAAGGTTTGTAAAGCTGTGTATCTGCAGTACATTTAAAAATTCCATATTCGAAAGAAAAAATAGAGAAAAACCTGACGAACTGCGGGTTCCAACTTCAGCAAATTTTAGTTACATTTGATAAAGACTACGAAGAGTAAAGGTCTCTGTTGGTACGATAGTGAAGACAAGAGTATTTGGTATCCTCTTTTTTGTATAATCGGCTTTATTGAGAACAGACAGGAAAGAAACCAGTAAAACATATCTGCAGTTATCGCTAAAATTTACTGGAATGTTTCTTGAACCTTGAAAACACGCATATCCATTCGAAGTTCATAATGTAGGATAAGTTGCGAAAAATAAGTAGATTAAGTCAGATTATCTTCACCTTAACTCCGTCACGAAATTCTCAACTTGGTGGTTTTCTTCAGAATAGAAAAAAAAACGGTATTGCGTTTATTTCGTTACTTGTTATTGTCAGAATTATGCTTGGTTGTGGTGTCGTCAGGTTTACATGGCTTTTCAATTGAATTAGATTTGTCTGGTGAACCCCTGATTTGTGATGAGCCAAAAATACTGTAACTCGGTGCGAAGATAATTTTTCTGCAGAGGAGCTTCTTGAAAAATGATGGACTGTACGCCGGGGGGAGGTGATGATTCTTTGAAAAGGGAATATCGCAAGCGTAAACATTATTTTGAAGCGAGTCCACCTGTTTCATTTTCAGGCTCAGTTGGATTCTTCTCCGTAAATTTATTGCATTGGAACGACATCTGCCTGAAACTCCTTAGATTGGCAAATCGTCATTTTCTTTTTATCCGATTTTTCTCTCGCCAAAGGTTCACCTGAAGAAGATCCACAATTTTGTCGAGGGACCCAAGGAAGATTGTGTTCAAGCTAAAGATGCTGATATCATTCAAGAAGATAAAAGCCGCGGTGAAGCATTCGATGCTGTTGTACCGCCGAGTGCAAATGTGGAAAACAGTGACGTGCTTGAACAGGTTTTATTCCTTACCGGCCTTGACAGCGATGTTGCTGACCTTCAAAAACAATTGCACCGTGAGGAACCTGATCTCCATGAAGCCGTGGACGATACGGGTTTGTTACTTTTTTTCATTCGAATATATTTCTGGGTGCGAAAAAAAAATAAGAAAAATTCAGAAATCTTCAAAAAAACGTATACATGTGGATTGAAAGTAATGTACAGTATAAAAAAGATGACCATACTGCATAAGTTGAAGTATGATCACCGTATTTACTCGAGTACCACGCGCCATCTAGTAAAACGCGCAACTCAACTTTTTGATATTAAATTTGAAGAAAAATGCATTTCCCCGCATATGACGCGCGTACCCAGGTGTTCACTGGTTCAAAATCTATTTTTTCTTCTTTGAGTAATTGTATTCAAGTAACTCATCATCTAAATAATCATAATAACTAGAAGCAATACTGTTCGAGGGTAACTAACAAACATAATTTTGTGTTTATTTATTTTTTCTCCTTCGAAGACTTCCTTACGACTTGCACGTCAGGCTTCATTATTTCCTTCATGCATATTTTTTTAAATGTAAACCCGCTTACCATGCTCACCCCACTTCTTTGCCTTGAATTATGTTGAAGAAGGTGCATGTGAAATTCAGATAAGTAAGGTATTAAGGAATTATTTAATAAAAAAAAATTCTAATTATCCTGTATACACGGAATTCTACGTCTAACGCAAGTCCGATCTCGCTTATCTTCATTGAGCCGACCAATTTAATATCATCGGCTCACGAGATCTTCCTAATAAAAATGTATCTCTTAGGAACCTTGGTGGAACAATCTGAAGCTGAAGATACTTCTCTGCAAGCTGAAGTAGCAAAAGACCCAAAGCCTACTGTAAAACAAGCGAAAAATTTCGCATGTCATGCGTGTCCAGCCTCTTACAAGAGGCTCGCGCATCTCAAGGAACACGAGAAAGAAAAGCATGGAACTTCGTCCATTCCTTGCGAAACCTGCGGACGCAGATTTTGGACCAAGCGTTTGTTGTTATCACACGAGCGAGTTCACGTTATTGGCGGACTCCACGAATGCGAATTGTGCGGGAAAACGTTTCGGTACAAGAACGGCGTGAAGAGGCACGTTCAGGCCCAGCACGGAGATAAACGATTTTCCTGTTCGTTTTGCGGAAAGAAATTCGGCTTCTCAAATAGTTGCAAACGACATATGGAAACTGCTTGTCCAAACGTAAGTAGAATTGAATTATTTAATCTGTGCCGAATTATGTTTTTTTTCTGCGTGACGCGAAGTTTTTGGACTTGCTCAAAAAAAGTTATTTATTGTAGCGTAAATAAAAAAATGTTTTTTCAGGTAATCCCAGCGCAAAAAGATCAGCAGAATCCCTATTATCTAGCTTAATAATGACCCCATGGATTAAACACGATTGAATAATGCACAGTACTGAGAATTCATAAAAATTTGAAGAATGATAAGATATTATGAATCGAATATTATGAATCGTGCCTCAAATCTGGAAGTGGAAAGGAAGTATATTTGTGTAAATTGTAATTTTAGAGTACTGTGTGTGTGTGTCCAATCGAATGTCCGGTTTCCGGGGTTCTGCTTTTTCTCTTTCTGCTAATCTTAAATTCTGGAATATGTTACTTTCCTATAAAATTACTTAATTTTTAAAGCTAATTTTTGTATCTCTGGGGTTTAAAAGAAAGTTAGATGCTATTTTATATTTTTATCTCTCATTTCTACCCTACAGAAAGAATTTTGTTCTCAGCCTCTTGATTGCTTTTTGCTGCCTTCATCCTCATGCTGTACTTGATTATTTTTCTTGTACAGTACTGTACATTAGTTTTCGGAAAATGCATTATGAATTTCTTTATATTCATATAATTGGAATCTAGTTACTTTCAAAAAATCACTTGACAAGGAATTGTTGAATGAAACAAATTAATTTTTGATGTCTTCGCAGTATAGGCACTGTGTTATTCAAGTCTTCATATGACGGAGTTTCCATTATAATGAATGTTTTATCCAGGTTTAGATGATATTTCGAAGTCTTCTTTGTTGTAGAAACGTATTACTGTATTTTTATCTTATCAATTTGCAATTTCTTCTATTTCAGGCTCCAGCCTCGATTACTGGGGTACAAGAGGCCGAAGTGGAAGAGCATGACGAAAATCCTATGGAACCTGCTGCATTTTCTGACCTAGAAGATCCTGTTATGTTAGAAGACAGAGTCGCTGTTGAATATCCCGGAGACCCGCCGCAGTCTGAACTGATTCTTCAACTGGACAACCTCAATCTCGATTTGGACACCACGACGTGTTTCCTAGTCGAAAACGAAGCCGGGGAATATTCTCTCATTTTGCCTTCACAACCTGTTCTCCCTCCACATCCACCTGCTTCTCTTCCTCCTCCTCCTCCTCTTCCTTCGTCAACTTCTGCAGCTGAACCTGTTAATCTGCCTGTGGTAGAACCTGTTCGGGTTTCAGCGCCGGAACGTACCCAGCAACAGCAATCCGCATCGAATCATTCCGTGTGCCAAGTCTGTCACAAGAGTTTCAAGAAACGAGCGGATTTTCAGCGGCATTTGAGAGTTCATACTGGGGAGCGGCCTTTTGGTTGCGATTTGTGCGAAAAGAAATTTTCCACGTCGTACGCGTTGACGAGTCATAAGCAGCAGGTGCACTTTCCGGTGAAGCGGGTCGAGTGTCATGTGTGCAACAAAATGTTTGCCAATCGGTCTGCGCGGAATTTGCATTTGAGATTACACACGGGTGACAAGCCGTTTGTCTGCAACGTCTGTGGAGCAGCGTGAGTTTTTTTCTTTCTTCTTGAATTTTTAATTCTCTTCTGGAGAGCTTCAATAGAGTTACAGGTGAACATAAATTCTTTGATGCATAAGCAATTATCGTNAAATTTGACTAACAGCATAATTTTCAAATTGGATGCACGAGAGATTTTCAAGAATCATCCATTGTCTTGGGCATTGCTGTCATAGTGATGCTTTTATGTTTTATATTTTCAGTTGGAAGTCTTGATTCAAAAGTTAATGGATTACCGTATATTCCAAGGATTCTGGAGCATTTTTCGCCAATCTATGTTGCGAAGTTACAGTTGAACCTCGGTAACTCAAATTCTTCTTTCGAAATTTTATCAATTCCCTCTCTGAATTCCCTTGATAACAAGGCATTGAAAGCCTCCGTAACTCCAAAGCTTTCCCTCTCAAACATTCATGACTCGAATTATCTGGGGACATTTTTGCTATTATTGTATTGAGGCAGGAAACAGAAAATAAATAGAAATGAAATTTCATGCGTTTTGAATGGAAGTGAAAGACTAATTGGGAAAAAGATCCCTTGCCTCCAAGTTCAGCATTTTTTAAACTTATTTATTCCTCGTTTATTTAAGGCCATGAATCACGCATTTAATTTCCTGTAATTCTTTATATTTATTTCCAGCCAAAATTTAGCGGTTTCCTTAACTCGAGTTTTTCGATGGTCCCTTGGAATTCGACTTGAAGAGGTTCGACTGTACAGTACTTGGATAAGTAATTTTCGTGGTACTGAAATAGATTATTCTGTAGTACAAATCGTAGCATAAATTTTCACTAGGTATTGAACACGTGGATCACGTTCATTATTGTTTGGCGGCATTATTGTATAACAGATTTGTAAACTTGTTGAGTAAACATAACCGGCACTTTTGTATTTTCAATATTCACACGCAGCAAGCATCACTTGTCGACGGAAACACGTAAGAGTTGCACAAATAATTGAGTAGCACGTGGGCGCAAATTCGGTTTCCTTTCGTATTGACGTGATATCCATCCGGCAAGAAAACGTCGTCTTCTCCCAAGGCGTTCAGGTTTTCCACCGCCGTCCACATGCAGGGCCAAGTGACGATTTTTGGATGGTTGGACGACAGGAATCTGGTCATATTTTCGTTGAATCTGTACATTTTTTGGGGGGGATTTGATCAAGTTTTCTGCAATGAAGTCTAATGGCTTCAATTCGAAAGAATGATCAATTTTTTGGGTATCAACTTGAAGTGTTTGCAGCCGACTCCGATCACTTGGACATGCAACCAAACAAGTTTTTAACATTGTGAAAATATTGTTTAATTGAACGCCTAACTTTATTTTATGGTTTTGCATGTTTTTCTATAGACGACTGAATCGAGTTATCTTTCAATGGTTCATGAGAACTGCAGCATAAGTTTGGTCCGATTTCAAGACCTGTTCATGAAAAAAAATTTAACTGGTTTTTTCTTTTGATTCTCAATGTGAAAATGTGCTGCTAATTTAAATACCTCATTTAAATTAAAACCATTGATTTAAAACTGATGGTACACATCCACAATGCTAATGCAGGTGGTACCTTGTAATTCAACCTCCCACAATTTGATGGTTGAATTTGCAGGGAGCTTGACTTGCAATTTGACTCTTGCCCCACAATTTGACCTGCTTTGGGCATTTTTTCACATCTTTGAACTGGAATTTTTGAATTTCAGGGAATGTCCTGCACTTTGACCAATTTCCAATTCAACCCTAGTTCTGCAATGGATTAGTGTTAAATTGATAAGTTACCACCTACACATTAACCAGAGCACTGCCACATTCTATAAGCATTAAAATCCACCAACAAAATCAGTCAAGGTACTCAAGCATCAGTTAAAGCCACCATATGTCCTTGGTCAAATATTGGCACTAAGCATGAATTGCGCTAAATGGAAATAAATGTGCTGTGTCAGATATTATCAGCACTTTTAACAGAAGATAATATTTGTGCAGGGTTAAATTTGTGGCTCAAAGCAATGTTTGTTGTACCATAATGCAAGGAAGCAATAAAGACAAGATAAATATTAAATATCTTAAATATTTAAGGCTATATTTTACTTCATGGACTTCTCATCCCACTTCCAAGACAAAGAAATGGTTCTTTTTTTTGTTAGAATCTCCAACAGCATGTTCATTATCATCTAACAGTAAAATTTTTTGTTCCAGCATCATTTCATTAGACTAGTTCTAGTTTTTGTCCATATACAATTGGTTCTCATCCAGTGAATTCAATGGCTCACATGCATTTGCAACATGAGAACTTGGAAAGCTCTCATTTTATGTCCAGGAGAATGGGCTCATGCTAGTGTGATGAATAAATCAAGTTACAAAAAATCATTGAAGTATTTTTAGAAGCATATTATTTAGAGTTTTAGACATTCCTCAGAAATTGAATTATATTATCTAATATTGTCTTGGAGTGTTGAAAGTCACCTTTGAATTTCTTGATTTAGCCCAGGTTCCCCAAAGGGTGGATTAGTGGGTGGAATGTCCATCCAAAGAGCACTCTTCACATTGGCATTCTCCCATGGCTTCATCACGTGCTGCAAATACTTTTCAAAGTCTTTTTGAAACCTGGAGTTGAAAAGCATGTACCTTGGGGGAGGGAAAAGACTGTCATATGCTAGGTTGAAAACCCCCATGACCCGTTTACCCCCTTTGAATACTTCACTCAGCAAAGGGTCAATGTGTGGGTCCAGTGCTGTGTGCTGATGAAGTCTGGCATAGTGGTAAATCAATTTTAAACGCCCACTTGTTTGGACAGCTATCTTGTAAGGCCGAAGTCCAACCTGTGGTCTGGTCTCAAAATAATAGAGGAAAAAATAATGAACTGTGTATCTGATTAATTTGAGAGGTTCTTAAAATGATGGGTCATGCTAAAGTTTCTATTGCAAGTTCATCATGCATCTTGTTTCTCCAATTTCTCAAATGGAATTATTTAGGAAATTTGTAATTTGTTTAGTTCAATTTTTAAAGGAAAATCTTCATTTTTCTGCATTTCTTTTTGCAGAATGAGAATCCAGGATTGAATCTACTCTTACTGTTTTCCAAATCAGTGTTCCCCAACCCAAGGTCCTAGGACTGCTCTGGTTTGCATATGTTTTTGGCTGGTCTTCTGGTAATTTTCTTCAGCATAATAAATGCATCAAAAGTAGCAATGGAATCCGGTATTGTCTTTGTGTGCAATTTGGAAAAGACAATGGTAGGTTAAATTATCTGATGGAAATTTAAAGGTTTTTTTTCTCCTAATAAGGCTTCTGAAAAATTATTGCCTGCTGAAATAAATTATTTTTAATTCTGAGAAATCTTTCTTGAAGCCCAACTTTCTAAATTTTTTGATGACATTCCTCTATATATAGCTACTTCATTGGTTCTTGACCGAATTTTTCACAATAGCAAAACTTTTAAATACCTGCCATAAAGTCTTCAAAGTAAAACTTTTTATGTCTAAAACAATTTCATGAGACTTTGCTGGTCTGCAGAACAATTTTATGGAAATTTGCCAGTCCACAGACACAAGAAGGTTGGGGAACACTGTTCTAAATTACTGGATTGTGTTCTTATAAGTGTAATATTGTAACAGCAGTATACAAAATGAAAACAATGAAATTAACTGATTTAAATGATGTGCAAATAAACAAAATGTGCACCACAGGTCAAAATTTTGGCTCTTGAGGGACAAGGGATCAAGAGTCAGAAGCAAGTTTGAGAAATTAGACCCAGAAGCCAGTGCTATATGATAATTTTAAAAATTTTCTTCCAATATTATAGATGATTCAAAGCTTTGGAACATACGAATCACTGGTCCTGATGGGTTTCCCAAGAATCATGGTTGCGAAGGAGTCAAAGATGGCCCTCATTCTGGAGTCGCCTTCTAGGAATATCATGGGATATGTGCTGTTGTTGATGGTTGCTGTCTGTTCAGTGATTCTGTCAATGCACTGTTGCGTCATATTTCGTGAGTAGCGTTTTATTGAGCACTTTATCTCCTGGCCTCCTATGGAAAAGGGTATGAAATGAAATTTGGAATGAAATAGGTGGATACTGGATAATACACTGCACAGTATAACAGTCATTGATTTATATTATATTACATTCTTCTGATGACTGATTAATGGCCATGGACAAATATTGGCGCGTACTGTATTTTAGCATATTTACTCAAGTAATTGCACCGTGATTTTTGGCACAACATTTGCCCATATTAGACCCACATCCCAGTTTGAATGAATTTAAAAAAAAAATCAAATAATGGTTTGTTACAAAACAACTTAATAATTAAATCAAAGAACAAGATTGGAATCAGGATTGCTGTCAAACCGATTTTTATAAATCTATTTATCAAATTATTTTCTGACTTGCACCAATATAGTTACATGATTTTTCAATTGCATGCCAATTGCATCCCACTTTTCTGACTCGATTTTCCCAAAAAGAAAGTTTGTGTGGTACTTGGGTAAATATAATACTATTTTATCATGATTGTGTCAACTGTCAATGTAGTGTATCTATGGGTAAATGCAATTTTGTTCCATCATAACACTTGGCACCTGCAAAAACCTTCCCTATAAGGAATATTTTCTGTAATGCCTAAATGTTTTGGTTATGTGTAACAATTGTATTATAAAAATGTATTTAAAACCCTGAAAGGAAACTCGAATTTAGGATGTGCACAGCTGCAGATATTTTTGTCCTTCCTGCACTCAAGC